AGGGTCACTTGACCCGAAACGTTAACTCTGATTTCTCTCCACAGATGAGAGATTGCTTTTCCAGCAATTTCTGTTTTTGTCTCTGATTTACAGCAACTGCAATTCATTCAGTTTTTATTTAGGAAGAAAATGGTATGTTAGCCTTCACTGCAAGATGGTTTGAGCACAGGAGAAAGGATGTAGCTGAATCTGGCCTTGGCGAGACCAGGCCTGGTGTATTGCGTGCAAATTGTGTTTCCTCCTAATCCTTCCTGAGAAGGAGTGCAGTAAATGCGCACCAGCCTGATTCCTGGGACAGCAGCTTGGGCAGCATACGAACAGCAGGGAAGTCAACATTTTGGGCCAAAACCGTTCATCAGGACTGACTTCCCTGCTCCTGGGATGCTGTCTGACCTGCTGTGCTTTTCCAGCTCCACATTTATTGACACTTCCTGAGTGAATATGATGAATGTACACTATCAACAGCTTTACAACTTCGCTTGATAATTATACTCACACACGTGAATAAACACTGGTTCCAAATTCAGCACATTGATACATTTATAAGAACTTGTAAAGTCTTGTGACAAATAACAATAACAAATGGTTGGATGTTTATTTTTGAACACATTTCTTTGTGCAATTCCCACATGCCCAGAATGTTACAGTAGATAGTTGAAGTACACAAGGATCAATATAATTGTGAGACAGAATAAATGTGAAATCATAAATACTTTATACCTATCTGAAACTCTTTGGCCACAGAATGCCGTACATAGAGCAGCCAAACGAAATGTAACTGCAATACCCTCCAACACAATTACAGCCTTCTCATGTGACTGAACCTTCTCCAGCAAACTGATCAATGACATCAATCTTTTGCACATTGCCCTCCATAATTTGCTCTTGAATTTCATTTCCACTGGACCAGATCTACAAGAGAAACATTGTGTTAACTGATTTGCATGAAAAAAGTGTTAAAATCTTTTCAGAAACCAAATGTACTGCAGCCAAATCCATGAAAAGTCAGGTGTTTTTCTGTGAATAATTATTTGCAACACTAATGGCAGGGGAGAGGTAAGAGTCTGTCAAACACAAACCATGCCTTCCGGTTCTGCCCCAGAAGTTTGTAACAACACCAATTCCTCTTCCAAGGTCAATTAACCTAGTAGCAACATTGTACAAGCACATTGTACTTCCACTGCCTTATCATTGCATTGCTTAAGTAAGAAAGCAAATTAATGACTTCAACCTTAATGCCTGGTATTCTCATGTAATGACCATGGCTGCTTCAAGTTTAAACAATACAATGAAAGCATGCATCAAAACCAGCAGAGAGGAACACACCGAAATGCTGCTTAGAATTTATGGCTGAAAACACAAAGAGAGGAAACATTTGTTTGGATAATGTTAATTATGAAAGTGATTATTTTTGTTGGAAAATGCTGTGGCTTGAGCAAGATACTGAATTCAGCTAGAACTTGTTCTAAATCAAAATGTTCTGGGGTCAGTACAGCAAGTTGTGGACTATGAAAAATTCAAACATACAGCTGTGGTAACATGGTAACAGTGCAGATAGGAAAATCTTTATATATCCTACTACTTCACATTGGTACATCTTTTACACCATTATAATATATTGAGTAGAAATTTCAATTTTCTGTACATTGTTATAATTTTGACCATCACTTTATATCAGCTTTTTGATTTTTGTTTGGGAGGGTTGTTGGTGTGGGTGGAAGTTGTGCCTGGAATTGGATTTGGAAGATCTTCTTTTCAACATATACATGAGAATTACAAACTCTTTATTGGTCAGCTCTCAGATGAATATTCATGACAACACAGGGTTGTTGGCATCTGTTTTCCCCGATTACATCTACGAAGTGGACTGCTAAGAACAACTTCCATTTAAATAACACCTTTGAGTATACAAAGGTGCTTCATGGAAGCAATTATCAAACAAAATGTGACATTCAGCAACATAAGATATTATGGCAGGTCACACACAGAAGGCTGAATAAGAATCTGGGAGAGAATTCCAGAGTTAAGGGCCAAGGCAGCCAAAGACACAGCCGCCAATGAAGAAGCACACCAGAGATGCTTCGGGAGCCAAAGATAGAAGAGAGAAGAGATATTGGACAATTGTAGGCTGGAGGAAATATAGTATTTTGCCACAATAACCTGGTTAATGCCATACAAATTCCCTTACGAGGAGTTTCAACCACCATCTTAGAAGCAGGGTATTGGAGGGAAAAAAAGAGCAAGTCTGCTCAAACACATCCCTTATTGGTCAATCATAACAGGGAAAGGCCAGATGAAAATCTTACATGTTTAACTCTTTTGCCAGTAAACAATTTGTGGGTGATAAGAATCAAAGAAAATGGTTACAACTAAACAAATTTTAAAAGTAGATTGACAAATATCATCCATACTCAGCTGGTTTGAATGCTTTCTGCATACACTCTGCAGTAAAACTCAAACGTGGCTTTTTCTCAGGAACTTCATCGCTGCTACTCTCTCCATCTGTTTCGGGAACTTGTTCTTGGTTTTGATTACGCATTTCCTGGATAACAGTCATCCCTTCTGCTCTCATTGCAATATACAAGCAACTTAACAAATACTGAAACACAATGCACCAAAATTATGAGTTACTAAACAAAGAGGGCTGCATAAGAAGCAAAATAACTGTACATTATCTTAATAGTGGTATCTTGCGTGGTCTTTCACCTGACCTTTTATTCCTTACCTTCTCATCACTCAAGGACCCAAACACTCTTTTTAAGTGAAATAGCAATTTACTTGCACAGTTTTCAATTTAGTACCTTATAATTTCTGCTCACAATGTGGCCTCCTCCATGTGATGAGACCAGCCACATACTGGATGACCTCCTGGCAGAACACCTCCACTAAGTCTGCAAAACTGACCTAAGCTTCATGGAGCTTGGCATTTCAACTCTCCGTCTTGCTCCTAATCTGACCTTTCTGTCATTGGTTTGCTACAACATTTCAATGAAGCTCAAAGCAACTTCAAGGATAGTACCTCATCTTTTGACTCAAGGCTCTGCATTCTTCAGGATTCAACATTGAGTTTAACAATTTCAGATCATCACCTCTGCCTCAATTTAGTGGTTTTTCACTGCTTTGGTTTTGTTTAATTTCTTTCTTTATTCCTTCTTACGTTCAGATGGCTGCCATGCAACCATTCACAGCTCATTTGGACACAACATTTTTTTTTAGCAACACCAATTACCACTCTCTCTCGTTTTTGTTTCATGGAAGTGCTATTGCCCACCATCCCATCAAAGATCTTCCCTCTAGCTCTTCCTCCCTCCTGCCTATCATTGGCTTAAAACCACTTGCATTTATATCTTTCTTCAGTTCTGACAAGTTCTGAAATATGCACACTGTTTACCTCCACAGATGCTGCCTGGCCTGCTGAGTATTTCCAACCAATTTCTGAATATACTTCACAAGCTTTATGCAATATAATTTAATTTTAAAAGTATTATAAATAAACCCACTGATTAAATATTTTTATTTCTTTTTGACATGTGCTGGCAACACTGTACTTACTGTTCATCCCCAGTTGTCCTGCGAAGGACAGTAGTGAATGACCTTCTTGAAATGCACTATACAGCCTCAGTCTTACTGATTACAGAAAGTCATTGACAAAGACTTTGCTTTATATCAGCTGCAAACTATTTTTTACCAGAATTACATGCTCGATTGGAAACAAGTGAACACAAAGATTAATAAAATACATTACCTCCTGCTTGGGTTCAGTTCCTATCATTTCAATTAAAGCTGTGCATATTAAATGTATACGGTTTTTCTGTATTGGCGCAGCACACACTAGTCCTGATGGAGCAAACATCAAAAAGTGCTGAAATATTTGACATAGAGCTGATCTCAATTTATCAGAATTAATGAGTCTCAACAGTCCATCTCCCATAAAGAAACTTAGTTTCTCCATCAACATATTAAGGTAAATGGGTTCTATCGTGAATGTGCTTGCATGATGCTCAGCAGTGACAGGAAAGAGTGCTCTGACCAAACACGCAAATGGCTCTTCATACAATTCTAATTCTGCTCTGTCAGCCTCTTTAAACCGTTTCAAGAAACCAATAAAACTCATAAAGAACATGTCTGCCAATTCTTCTGGGGGTGGTCCTCCAAGGTTTATCAACTTTGTTAACAAGGCCAACACAATGCCCTTAATCTTGGGACTGCCATGTTCTAAAAGAGAGCATCCTATTTCCCACAAGACAAGTCTTTGTCTTCTGCAAAACACACTCGAGAGAACTGAAGAAAGTATTCTGAGTAATATGACCTCCAACGATTCTACTTGTAGTACACAGGACAACTGAAGAGGTGCAGGGGTCAAATATCCTGCATCTTCTCTCTCAGCCACAACAAAACGATTAACTACGAATGGCTGGAAGAACGAACTCTGCTTATTGTACATCATCAGGTTCTTCTCCCTCAGACAGATCAAATCCTGAAAGAGGCCCAATAGTTCCTTGGTTTGTGTTCCAAATATAAAGGGATTCTTGCTCTTGAACAGCCAAAGCAAAGAAAGTATAATTTTTGCAACACAGTCATGAAGCACTTGACAGTTTTGGGCTGCAGCAATCCGAAGAAGCCTGGTTATAATCCAGTTACTGAAACCTTTAAAGAAAGAAAAGCCCATTCAGATCAAATATTGCAAAAACAGGTTAAACTTATCTATTTAGAGATCTAAATATCTAGTTTAGTCTGTAATCATGATATTGATGCAATTTCCTGTGTTCAGCAACTGTAGGCTAATACAAACAAACATATATAATGGCAGAAACACTTTTACAATCTCTATTTATTATATGCCATCATTTTCCTGAGGGTAGTGCAGCAACTGGTGCTCAACTTAAGTATTCAGGCTCCAAAATACTGAGTGGCGAAGCTGGCTTAATGAGACAAATGGTCTCCTGCCTCACCCTGGCTCTGTGTTGCTCTGTCACAGGGCAGCAAGTTGCTAAAGGATTCTTATTTGCAATCATTGCACAAGGACATTACTATCCTGGCTGAGAATGATTCTATTGAAACCTGGGCAATTGTGGGATAATAGTAAACTACATAGAGTGTTTATCAATTGAGCTTGTCATTTTATTGATTATTATGATTAACTGCAACTGGTAATAGGATTTCATTGTCATAGAACATCAAAGCAATGATAGTGGATTCTCCCCACCATCTTAAAATAATAAAATAATAATTCAAAAATACCAGTTCCTTAAAGGAAGGAAACTATAAAGTTGCATTCTCAATGCTGTTCTAACAAACCATTAAAACTCATTCTGTTGGAAGACAACTGGGTTGTTGTAAAACAGAATTCTAACTTGCTGTGGGTCTTTTTGGTGCAAATATCAATTTTAACCCAGATATGTCAAGCTAATACAATGAACTAAGAAACTGACTACTGGTGAAAGATTTTTGATCACTTTTTTTGTCTTGGATGAAGTACTCAAAAGTCATAGCTGAATCACTACGTTAAATTGCATTTGCACCTGGCATGCAGGATCTTTATTTAAATGCTTCAAACAAAAGAGAACAAATAAAACAGTTATTGATTTTATTTGAATGTTATTTGACATTTCTTGTGTATCATTTAAACTCAATTTGTCAACAAACTGCAAAAATGAAATATCAAAATCTGAGCCACAGTCCAAAAGGTTAATAGTCAAGATTAATTTGTAATACTAGTGTTACAATTAAATCAATGTTTCTGCAGCTCCTGCATAACTCACCAATACAACTGCACTCATCATCACTACTGAGCTGCTGAATTTCTCGAGTTGGCTTTCGTGGTATGTTTACAAACATAAGAGGAAAGGACTTCATAATGTGTTGGATAAAATCCAACAACATCACACATGTTGGCTGAGAATCAGTCTTCTTCGAAAGCTCCAAAGCAACTGAAATTTCAACAGGAAAATAAAATTACAAAAGAAAAAGAAAGACTTTTATATTTCGCATTTATACAGCTTTCAAAGTCAGAAATCCCAAAGCACTTTATAGCTGATTATATACTTTTAAGCCTGGTCACCATTAGAATAAAGGATAAACAGCAGCCAAGTTGCACACAGCAATCTATTTCCGTGAAGTTGACTGTAGGGTAAGTGATAGCAAAAACTGTATGGATAACTCTGGCTCTTCTTTCAAAGAACGAGGTTCTTGGAGTCTTAAGTTTAAACAAGCGGATAGGACTTCAGTTCACTATCTCAAAGAAAGAAGAATTACTCCAGCAATGCAGTGCTTCTTTGGTGCTGCACTTGAGTGTTAGCCTTGATTTTTGTGCTTATATCCTGGAGTGAGACTTGAACCCAGAACTTTATATCTTAAAGGTGAGTCGGTATCAACTAAGCTATGGCTTACACATTTTATGCATCGATTAACTGATAATTGTTTCTAGATCATTGCTTTATTCACAATGTAGCTATTATAGGATCAGCGGGGAAATATCTGGGCAATAATTTTGCAAGCTGTTACCATTATAATCGACAATCAGGATGCTTGATGTTGTCAGTCAGATCTTCATCATTTGCAACAAAATGTCTTTAAATGGCAAACTTGAAATCAGCAAATAATTTAGCAGCACATATAATATTACAAATTAGTTTCCTGTTCCAATAGCCTGAATTTAGATAAATTACTTTGTTGTAGAGGTTAGCAAAGAAACAGAACACAGACAAAGAACAAAATTCAATTTACAAATCTAACATTATGTTTTGAACTTTTCCACTAGAAAGGTTAGACACGTTGTCAAGAACAAATCTACATTTATGCAAGCATATGGCAATTTTAAAAATCAAAATTTGAAGTGCTTTTAGCAAAAATGCCAAAAAGAAATAAAATCAGCAAAACTATTTCACAGTCCTCTGCTCCCACGCTCTTGGGAAACCAACATTTGGAAGTTGAATGGTCGCGAAATGAACTATTTACTAATCTTGTCGGATCACTTGAGCACAAATATCTTTATTTTAACTGATTTCTGCATATTATATATGTATGGATCATATAATTGTCCCTCAAATCTGCGGGTACGAGGGCGTCCACTTTTGAACTTTGTACTAATTGCAAAATGCAGGATAGTAATCTCCACACTCTCCCTTGTTTGGGAAGCACCTGGTCTCCATTCGTACTTAGTAAGAGAGTCAGGAGCTTCCCAGACCCAAACTGAACCATCAGCATACAATCCTCCGTAGTAATAGCTCTTAAACAAAGTTTTGCCTGTCAAAGTTGCCTCTTAAGTGTTGTTACTATATCTGCTTCTACCACATTCTCTGTCAGCACATTCCAGGCACTAACCACCCTCTGTGTCTTCACATCTCATTTAAATTTAAGATAACAAGGTGTAGAGCTGGATGAACACATCAGGCCAAGCAGCATCAGAGGAGCAGGAAAGTTGACGTTTCGGGTCTGGACCCTTCTTCAGAAATGATTTACCCCATTTTACCTTACATCTATGTCCCCTATTTTCTATCCTATGGATAAATAAAAGGGTACAGAAAAAGCAGAAATCAAAAGAAACGATCAGATGGCAAAAAAAGAGAGATGACCAGAAGGGGAAAAGAAATCAGTCAACCTCAGGCAAGTGCAATTCATCTGTGTCAGCTGCGGACGGGACTTCTACTCAAGAATCAGCTTCTACAGTATGGCTTCACAAGGTGGGATTCAGGGCCTCAGGTGGGGTTGTGAGCTAACAGTTTGGGTTCATGGGCTGTCAGGGAGCAATGGTTGCTGCCAAGCAGCCATCAAATTATTATAGTTGTGTTCCTGCCCCCCATCTCTCAGCTCTTCTTGAGGGGTCATGACAATTCAAGCCTCAAAATGAGCTCACAATGAGAAAACGTTTGGGAAGCATTGCTCTACAATCACAACAGATGGCAGTCAATCCAGAAGTGACATACATCCTGGCACAGTCGATCATCTCATGAGAAAGACAGATGCCTGGAAAGAGATTTTCTGCAGATGGGATTTAGAATTAAAAGTTATTTGCTCCTTTTCAGAAGCTGCTTGAGTAACTCCTTCTTTAAATACAAAACCAAATATCAATAATGCACATTGTATTTTGTCTAGAAATGTTAAGAGGAGGAACAGGTGGAACGTACTTACCAACATCTACATCTGTGAGCATTTTGTCAACAAACTGACAAAGAATCTGTCTTGGCTTCTGCACCACAATGTTGTAATCTTCTGGACGAGCACTGTTTGGGGAATTAGGTTACACTATAATTGACATGCTTAAATTCAAGTTCAGAAACTTATTTGCCTTTCAGCATCATTAAGTCCCCAGTAAACAATTATTTTCAAAATAAAAACCGAAAGAACTGCGGGTGCTGTAAATCAAGAACAAAAACGCAAGTCCTGAGAAAGGGTCACCAGACCCGAAACATTAACTCCGATTTTTTTTCTTCACAGTTCCTGCCAGACCTGCTGAGCTTTTCCAGCAACTTCTGTTTTTGTTAACAATTATTTTAACTTTGTTGGGATACTTACATTTACAAGTTTAACCTCACCTGTGCCTACCCGACTCATAGCTCTAGTAAGTGTTATAAGCTTTGGCATTTGAACTCTCTCTCTTCCACTACCCTCCCTTCTTTATGTCCAAGACACACCTCAGATCTCCCTTATCACCAATTCCATTTCAATTCAAATCCAGAAATGAACAAAGGAGCAGGGGTAGACCACTCAGTCCTTGAGCCTGCTCTGTCATTCTACATCACATCTGATAATCTACCATAATGTCATTTTCCATTCCTGCACACATTTCCTTTGATATTATTAGTATTTAAGAAACATTTTCTTTCCACGTTTCTCTCCTACATGCCCCTCCCAATAACATTGTGAGCAGATATTTTCCACTTCCTACTCCCATGATCCCATTTGTCTAAATCTATGGTCATCCAACATTCGTTCCTGGTCCCTATTCCACTGCTGAAATGGTTCCTTTTTTGTCAGTCACCATTTCTTTCACTCTCAAAAATCAGTATCACTGTCCCATATTCCTCGATCTCTGTGCCCTCATAAACTAGTGGCCCACCTCCAACGTTTCTCATCCTTGAACCATATTGACATTTCCCAAATCGGCATCATCCCTTCTTTAATTTCAGATTACCATTAGGTTACATCAAAATGAATCTAAGCCAAGTCATAAATGACTTCACTGTTCTGTGGCCATTGTACATTACATCTGTTCACTTCCTCCTCAACTTTTCTGCAGCTTTAGACACAGCCAGTTGCAATGTCTTTTCATCCAGTTCAGTGGTACTCTCCTCACTTAGTCATCGATGGTTGCAGTTTTACTTCTGAGTACTGAGTTCATGGTCAATTGTAGAAACTTGAACACACAACCTAGGTCCACTCATAACTACAATGTTAAATAATATTATGCTTTCTGACATGCCATCTTTCAGATCAAGCATTCGGTCTAATATGTGCACCTTGCTCCGATGAACATACACGGCTCTACTCAAAAAAGGGGCATGTTTTCCCAGTGAGCTGTGTGATGTAAGGTGAATCATTTATATATATTTCAATCAATATGTTTGCTGACATCAATAATCTGATGATTGCCGATTGCACATGCTCACAGGCAATTATTTCCAGCTGCATAAACAAACACTCGTGCAATATTAAGTCATTTCTTAAAAATTAACAATTCTACTTTGCTTAACATGTTATTTTTCTTAAGCCCAGTATACTTTTTCATACTTTTCCATTAATAGGTACTTGACACTCTTAAGTATGTTTATGGGAGATATTGCTGCTCATGCAAAAGCTCTCAAGTACCAGCATGTGCATCCCATTTTGGATTTTTTAATTTTGAGCTACTGGCATATGAGTTTTCAGTGGTTCTCTGAGGGGGTTTAACAATTAACTTATATGTATTTCTGTAACCAAAGTGATTAATTTCAAAACACGGTATGAGAGACAGACTTCCTGGAGAATAATAAGGTTGTTTTCATTTGAAAAATTTACAAGCAACCAAAAAAGAACAGTGTAGTTTATTAGGCTTTGAGATCAGAAATTCTGGTTTCTTTGGGGGCCTCAGGGGAAATATCAACAACTTAGGGAAAAAAAGCTTCTGGATCTTATTGGGCAGTTTGGCAAAGTCTTGTCTAAAGCTGAATATGTAAAGCGTCTATGTTTGGCTTGGGATACTATAGTTACATTGTAAAAACCAAAAGAACTGCGGATGCTGTAAATCAGGAACAAAAACAAAGTTGCTGGAAAAGCTCAGCAGGTCTGGCAGCATCTGTGGAGGAAAAAACAGAGTTAACGTTTTGGGTCCGGTGACCCTTCCTCAGAACTATAGTTACATTGTCCCAGTGTACCGATATTAGGGAAAGTTCATTGTGAATATGTAAAAGAAAGGGAGGTAGTTTAGGACAGTTAAAAAAGAGGCAACCTCAGTGTAAGGACTTTTAAACTAAAGTTCCAGACTGTTAGATTAAATTCCTGAAATGGTCTCCATAAGTCTCCAAAGACAGCATTCAGATTCTGAAAACAGGGTCAATGATCTACAACTAATTAAATTAAACCTTTTGGTGTGATATAGAAGAGAATTCTCTATTGTCCTGTAAAGGAGGGGTTTCTTTTGGGATTAATGGATATTTTTAACCAAAAATGTGTTTCAAAATCTGTAAGTTGGTGATATATTTAAGTAGTTTTTTTTAAAAATCTAACCTATTTTTCTAATCAACCTGTCAGAGATGTTATTAAACATCTCTGGAGGAGATGGGACTTGAACCTAGGCCTCCTGATCCAGGTGTAAGGACACGACCACTGTGCAATAATGTTTATTCAAGTTTATTTTCATTTCTTTCTCCGAATGAAATCTGAATCCACAGTATTTCATGTTTGCTTCAGGTTTTTGCAAAGATTTGTAGCTCGGGTTGTGGGTGAGGTTGTTGACTTGCTCGCCGAGGCAGTTTGTTGTCATTCAGACGTTTTGTCACCATGCTCGGTAACATCGTCTGTGAGTCCTCCAATGAAGCGATGTTGTTCTACTCTGCTCAGAATTTATACTGTCTGTCCATTATGGTGAGTTGTGTCATTTCCAGTTTTGTTCTCTATGGATTTGTACATGGGGTCCAATTCCATATGTTTGTTGATTGCGTTCTGGGTTGAGAACCATGCCTCTAGGAATTCCCATGCGCGTCTATGTTTGGCTTGGGCTACTATAGTTACATTGTCCCAGTTAAACTGATGGCCTTCATTGTCGGAGTGTACCGATATTAGGGAAAGTTCATTGTGTCGTTTTCATACTAGCTGATGTTCGTGTATTCTGATGGCTAGTTTCCTTCCAGTCTGTCTGATGTAATGTTTGTGGCAGTCATTGCATGGTATTTTGTAAACTAGGTTGGTCCTGCATGTCATGGATATGGGGTGAATCCTTGTGAGTGTTTGTCATCATGTCGCTATGGGCTTGTGTGCTACCGTGACTCCTAGTGGTCATAGGAGTCTCGTTGTCAGTTCTGATATGTTCTTGATGTAGGACAGTGTGGCCAGTGTGATAGGGCGTAGTGTCCTGTTGTTGTTGTGTATTTAGTAGGCACCTGTGGATGAAATTGCGGGGATATCCATTCATAGCAAAGATTTTGTATACAGAAACCACAGCAAGAACACCAAAGTCCACAAACAAAGTTGTGTTAGGACTCTATTTAAAAATGGGTCACCACTCACTGCAACACACCAGAACTACACAGGAAACAGGAAGAGCATCTATACAAAATATTGAATATGAGATTAACTGCAATTTCCGCCATTTAAATGTTGGGAACATCAAAACCATTTTCTCTAACCACCTCAGCTATCTTCATCTCCCTATCACCACTTTCGCCACTACCTGAAGCTAAATCAGCCTGTTGTTAACCTAAGCATCTTATTTCATCCTGATCAAGGCTTTCAACTTATCTTCTATAGCAGAAGGCCATCTATTTCCACCTCTATGGAGGAAGCTAACATGACAACGTGTCGTTGAAATCCTCAATTACGTCATTGTGAATTTCACCTATTCCATTGCTCTTCAAGCTGCTTTGTGCATTCGATCCCTTATCAGATCCTATTTTTCTCTGACTGTTCTGTCCTTTTTGTCTGACATCAACATTGTTCCTCCTTCTTGGAGGCTGTAAGACTTGCTAACCACAACCTCGGAACAGTACATTACTTTACCGCCAATTAAGTACGTGTTCGAAAGCAGTCAATGCCGCAGCCAATTTTCATGCAATAAAATCATACACTGTAACGTGATATTAGGGGGAGGTGATGGCCTAGTGGTACTACCGCTGAGTGACCTAGGTAACATTCTGGGGATTCAGGTTCAAAGTCTGCCATGGCAGATGGTGGAACTTGAAAGTAATAAAAATCAGGAATTAAGAATTTTATAATGACCATGAATCCATTGTCAACTTCTGCAAAACCCATCTGGTTCATTAGTGCCCTTTAGGGAAGGAAACTAAATCCAGACCCACAATAATGTGATTGACTCCCATCTTGGCAATTAGAGATCGGCAATAAATGTTAGCCTAGCTAGCAACGCCTCCATCCTATGAATGAACTTGAAAAAAAATTCACTACATCATTTGTTTTGGAGATGTTATTCAATGGATATGTACTGACTACACACGAGAGAGAACTCCTACGGTCTCCTTCAATAGAGTGCCATTGGATATTTTGGCATACAATTTAAAAAAAGTTAAGGTTTCAGTTCAACTTCTCATCTAAAAGATACTTCCAACAGTACTGGTGCTTCTCAGGCTAGATTTTGCACACACAATCTGCAACAAGGCGTGATCCCACACCCAAGTGACACAGAGGTGATGAAGCCCCAGCTATGATGTCGTGCCACACATGATCTAAACAAGAGAAACTATAAAACACATTTGAAGGGCTCTTGCAGTGCAGTGGCCCAGGAGGCTTGCGTTCAAGTCCCACTGTCCCAGAGATATATCATAACATCTGAGAACAGGTTGATGCCCAGCATCATTTTGTCTCTCAGATTTACGTTTGATTCGTATTAGAAATAAGATAAGATGAGAGCTCACTGCCTAAAAATTTTGTGCTGTGTACTTCCCTTCACTTCACCTGACGAAGGTGTAGCGTTCCAAAAGCTTGGGCTTTCAAATAAACCTGTTAGACTGTAACCTGTGTCATTTGTTGTCTGAGCTAGAAATAAGACAACATGCTGCATTGGAATGACCAAGCGTCAAGATCCCGGTACCATCAATCAAATGTATACTTTTTCTCCTGTAGCAGGCAATAAAATCTAAAGCATGGACAAAAATATTAACTGGGGTAGGCTCGATGGACCCAATGGCCTTCCTATTTCTTATGAGACTTTAAACTGTGTAAGAGCATTTCAAATAAAACACAGTTCACATTCGACAATAAATCAATCGAATATTATGCATCTGAATGAGAAAGATTTGAAGAGTTCATCCGGAAGCTGTCAGTGAAGAGGTCCCCAGGACAGAGGAGACGGTTCTGGAAGGTCCTGTGGCCGGGGCCTAGTCTCTCTCTGCTCCACGAGAGCAGAGCGAAGGCACGAAAGCAGCTCACCTCTCCAACTCCCGCAGAGCCGGCAAGATGGAGGCCATCTCCAGACCCTGCTCACACATCCTGACAAACACTCTCGCCTCCCGAAGGCATTGGACGGTTTCGCTTTAAAATTACTCCCGTTCCCGCAGCGCGGTCCCAAAACCGCGCCACCGGCCTGACCCCGTCCACTGGGGCCACGGGGCGGGACAATCACTGGCTTCGCCCAATCAGTGCACAGGACGGTGCGATCTCTGACCACGCCCAATCAGTGCGTGAGGCGGGGCGATCGCTGACCACGCCCAATCGGTGCACAGGGCGCGGCGCTCACTGACCACGCCCGTTGTACGGGGCGGGGCGGGGCGGGGTGTACCCAGATCCCACCCACGCGGGCCCGGGGGCGGGGAAACCACTGGCCCCGCCCACCACAAACAGGCGGCGGGTGAGGCAATACCTAAACCCCGTCCGCTCTTGGCGGCTCCCATTCCTCGGCTAATCAGACCGGGGTTGGGAAGAGCGGAGGATCAGTGCAGCCCCGCCTTGGAACCGCCACGGCCCACTCAGAAATGGGGGCGTGGTTTCAGTCAACTGTGACCCCGCCCATGTCCCGACAACACTCGGTGGCAGCTCTTTTCCCCCATTCCCAGGGCGACCGTCGCTCGGAGCCCTGTGATTGGTTCGGCCTAACGTCCCCGGATTGGCCGCACGTTGGGAGCGATCTGATTGGTTCACCGTGCAGCTCACGCGTGGGCCTCCCGCACTCGAAGGTCCCCCGGCGCATGCGCTAAGTTTGAACGCGGTCGGGAGCGGGAGGAGTGGCTACGGTCAAAATCCGACAGATGCGGAAGCAGGCTGCTCGGCCCATCGAGTTCGTACTGGCCCTTAGACCCACCTCCCTGTACCATCTCCCTGTTCAGGGTTTGACTGAAGATTTGTGGCTGGGGTCCTGGTTGTAGATGTTGGTGTGTTCTCCGAGCTGGGAGGTTTGATAGCAGACGTTTGGCCCACTTACTGGGTGACATCCTCAGTGCTGTGGAGCCTCTTGTGAGGCGCTGTTGTGTTGTGCCATTAGACGACATGTCCATCCTGGGCCTCCTGCAGTGCCACAACGATGCCACCCGAAGGTTGCAGGAACAGCAACTCATATTCCGCTTGGGAACCCTGCAGCCCAATGGTATCAATGTGGACTTCACAAGCTTCAAAATCTCCCCTCCCCCTACCGCATCCCAAAACCAGTCCAGCTCATCCCCGCCTCCCTAACCTGTTCTTCCTCCCACCTATCCCCTCCTCCCACCTCAAGCCGCACCCCCATCTCCTACCGACTAACCTCATCCCTCCCTCTTGACCTGTCCGTCCTCCCTGGATTGACCTATCCCCTCCCTAACTCCCCACCTACACTCACCTTTACTGGCTCCATCCCCGCCTCTTTGACCTATCTGTCTCCTCTCCACCCATCTTCTCCTTTATCCATCTTCTATTCGCCTCCCCCTCTCTCCCTATTTATTTCAGAACCCCCTTCGCCTCCCCCTTTTCTGATGAAGGGTCTAGGCCCGAAACGTCAGCCTTCCTGCTCCTCTGATGCTGCTTGGCCTGCTGTGTTCATCCAGCCGTGCACCTTGTTGTCTCGGATTCTCCAGCATCTGCAGTTCCTACTATCTCTGATCGAATTTACATGGTCTGGTTTTTGCTGCTTCGTAGGTGCCAGTTCCGGCTGTGCGTTGTAATGGTCGGTATACCGGGTCTAATTCAATGTGTTTGTTGATGGAGTCTGCAGACGAATGCCTAGCCTCCAAGAATTCCCTGGCTGTCCTCTGGCTTGACCTATGACAGTAGTATTGTTGCAGTTGAAAGTGTGGTTTTTCTTGTCTGTGTGTATTAAAAACCAAGGACATCTGGTCGTGTCATTTAGTTGCTAGCTGTTGTTTGTGGATGCAGGTTACTAGCCTGTTTGTCCCATGTAGTGTTTTGTGCAGTCTCCGCATGGCATCTTGTAAACCACCTTCGTCCTGTCCATGGCATCTATTGGCTCTTTCACTCTGGTCAGTTGCTATCTTAATCTGGCTGCCAGTTTGTGTGCTGTCATGATTCCTGGCAGTCTGAGTAGTCTGGCTGTCAGTTCTGAGATGTTTTTTATATATGGTATAGTGGTTATTGTTTCGGGTTTTGTGTGTCCTGGTTGTGTTGCCTGTAGGCTAGGCATCTGTGGATGCAGCTGTGGAGATATCCATTCCTGGTAAAGACCTTATAGAGGTATTCTTCTTCCTTCTGCAGATTGGGTGTGCTGCAGTGTGTTGCGGCCCTTTTGAACAAGGTCCTCATGCAGCTCCTCTTGCGTGACAAAGACAGAAGTTGCTGGAAAAGCTCAGCAGGTCAGGTAGCATCTGTGAAGAAAAAAATCAAAGTTAATGTTTGTGGAGTTGGGTGGTTGCCGTAATAGTTTAAGACCTGGTCAGCCTGTGTGGATTTCCTGTACACTTTTGTAGTGAAGTCACCATTCACTTTTCTTTACACCATCACGTCCAGGAATGGGAGTTTGTTGTTGTTTTCCTCCTCTCTAGTAAATTTGATCCCTCTGAGTATGGTGTTGTTGAGTCAGTGGGTGTTCTCAATTTCTGTTCTTTTCATAATTACAAAAGTATCATCCATGTGTCTGATCCAAAGCTTGGATTGGATCTGTGGGAGGATGGTTGTTCCAGTCTTTGCGTGACTTCCTCAGGTATCAGTCTAGAGATGCGTGAGCCCATGGGAGTCCCGTTGATCTGCTCATATATCTTGCCGTTGAAAGTAAAGTGTGTTGTTAAGCATAAGTCCAGTAGTTTGAGTATGCAGTGTTTGTTGATCTGTTCCTTGTTTTGTCATCTCTTGTGTTTGTTTAGTGGGTTGGATATGGCTTCTTTGGCCAGGTTTCTGTCAATTGATATAAACACTGCTGTTACATCGAGCGAGATCATCACTTCTTCGTCTATTTTAGTGTTCTTGATGTTGTCCAGGAATAATTGTGTTGGTTGTATGGAGTGCCTTGAACTACTGATTAGATGTTTAAGCTTTTATTGTAGTTCCTTGGCTAATTTGTGTGATGGGGTTCGTGGTAAAGCCACAATTGGTCGGAGCGGTATGTCAGGCTTGTGGACGTTGGGCAGTCCGTAGAATCTTGGATTGTTGTTGCCTTCCGGTTTCATTCTTTGTAATTCTGTTTTTGTTATCTGTCCTGTTTTGTGTTGGTACTGTAGTGTATTGGCTATTCTGTTTGTTAGTTGTGGTGTGGGGTCCCACTCCCTCTGTTGGTAGGTTTGTGTATCTGCAAGTAGTCCTTCAGCTTTTTGTATGTAGTCCGTTTTGTTCATTACCACAGTCATTCTGCCTTTATCATCAGGAACAATGATGTTTTTGTCCTTTTTGAGGTTCTTCAGGGCACCCCTTTCCTCTTTGTTAAGTATGTTTGTTTGTGTTCCCCTTGTCAGTAGGGGTACAATGGTCTGTCTGATCATTTGTTGTGTTTCTTCGTTTAGTCCGTTGTTTCTGAGTGTGGACTCTAGTGTTGCCAGGAAGTCTGTTTTTTCAGCAGTTGCAGTTCAGTCCTTTGATTAGTACTAGCTTTTTCTGTATCTGTGAGCCGTCTGTGGGAGAGGTGCCTTATCCATTTGTCAGTCATGTTGTGTCCTCTGTCGTTGGTCAATTTGGTCATTTTTTTCTGTGGTGCTGTTTTTATTTGTGTGTGGGGTCCGGTTCCGTGTTATTGTGATGGCCCATTCAATTCTCGTAGTCCATGCCTGATTGGTCGCTTTTGAAATTATCGACTCTTGGCGCATGATTTCTCGTTTGTACTTGTGGGGTCAGTTATGGGCATCTGTGATCATGACTTGTATCATCCTGCGGCCATTCTGTCTGGCTGTTTCTCTGTCATGTGAGTTATTTACTGGTGGTCTGTACCTTAAGCATGGTAGTTGTAGTTGTTTGTTGTGGCACTCGTGTAGGAATGTGAGTTGTTGATACGTGGTGCTTATTCGGTTGACACAAGATTCCCACTTCCTTGTTTGCTTTAGCGTCTCATGCCTATAGGTGTTTAGGGTTTGAGTGAAGATTTGTAGCTGGGGTGCTGGTTGTAGATGTTGGTGTGTTCGCCAGGCTGGGAGGTTTGATAGCAGACGTTTCGTCCCCCTTACTAGGTGACATCCTCAGTGCTGTGGAACCTCCTGTGAAGCACTGAGATAACAAGGTGTAGAGCTGAATGAACACAGCAGGCCAACCAGCATCAGAGGAGCAGGAAGGCTGA